AAGCAATAAACATATTAGAAAGAGTAGAATTTCCTTTTTCTTCTCCACATTTCATTCTCTGGGGAAGATTTAATAAAAGCAAAACATGTTAGATTTATAAATGTTTCCATTTTGTTATTTATATTATAATTCTGTCGTATTCAAATCTACTTTTGATCACAACACAGAAAGAACAATATAGTTACAATACGAAGTATACTTATGATTTATAAATTATTAGTTAATCTTGACAAACCATTTGCATACAGATAGAAAAGTATTCAGTTATTCGGTAAATAACAAAAAAATAGACAGAAGCTTAAGATAAGGATTTGTCTTTTCAATGAACTTGTTTATACATTAGTGAGGTGTTGAGTGAGGTATTGCAGAAAGAAATGCAAGACCTAAAATGATTGACAGCCAAAATATTAAAAATAAAACATAGGACATCCCAAAAATATACATCAGAATTTGGAGATACCAAACTGAAACAGAAAATTTAAATAACTACACATCAATGGTAAGAAGATAGAATGCGTTGTGGTCAGCATAAGGACCAGCCCAACATGCACATTGAAAATATCACCCCCAAACATTTACGAAAATTTAAGTAACTACTCATTAATTGTAAGAAGATAGAATGCATGGCTGTCAGCAAAAGGTCCAACCCAACATGCACATTACTAATACCAAACCCAAACAATTACGAAAATTTAAATACCTAGGAAATGTTTTAACAGATGTTAGAAGTTTGACATCTAACTCCGAAGGCACATTGGAACAGCGGAAGATGCTTTCTAGAAGATAAGAATAGTATTAAGAAACAGGAAAAATTCGTTAGAAACGATGAAAAGAATACGGAACTGTTATGCAATACCAGTCCTCCCATATGGCAGAGAATGCTGGACAATCTCCTCACAGATGAAGAGGAGACTTGGAGCAACAGAAGCAAAGAATAGAGTACTGAAATGTTACGTAATATCAGTCATCCTGTATGGCACTGAATTTTGGCCAGTCTCGTTACAGATGAAGAAGAGACTTGAAGCAAGAGAAGCATAGATAAAGTGTACTGGACTGTTACATAATATCGGTCCTCCTATATGACAGCGAATATTGGTCTCGTTATAGATGAAGAAGAGACTTGTAGACTCCATAAACATATATATTCTGCAACTACATAACCTCCACTGAAATTTGTTTCCCTTTGATTTAAATTAGAATTAAAATTTGAACTCCTATCCAAAATATACAAGGAGAAAGTCAGAAGATGGAGGTTACATCGACAAGATCAAAATGAGAAAATATGGACGTCAAGTTGAGCAAGAAATCACTAATCAGTGGGTAGTGCCTTACAATACATATTTGTTGCAACAATTCAACTGTCATATAAATGTTGAAATCTGTTCATCAATTCATTCCATCAAGTATTCCATCAAATACATATCAAAGGGAGCAGATCAAGCTTTTACAGAAACCCCCACTGAAAAAAGTTTTCCCTTTGATTTAAATTAAATTTAAATTTGAACAAGGGAATGACGCCTATCCAAAATATAAAAGGAGAAATCCAGAAGATGGAGGTCACATTGACGAGAGCATTGAGTAATAATGAAATGCATTATTTTTCTTCACAAATTATAACAATTATTTAAAATCAAACATCATTATCTTACAAAAAACAAAAAAAAAATGTGTGACACGCATCAAGGCGCAGGTAATTCAACTAGTATACAAATAAAATCAATTATATTTTTTCTTGAATCAAATGTCGAAGCTATGATTTTTATTTTCTTTTTGTTAATCCTAAATTCTTATAAACCAAAATTCGATTAGTGCATACATAACACTCGATTAGTGCGGTAAAACATTCTTCAGTTTAACCATAGGAATTGAAAATTGATTTTTTTATAGTTACAGATTAATTAAAGACTTTGTAAAATTTCAAAATGGAAAATAGGTGTCAAGTATTACGTCATCAAAGTAATCAAATAAATAAATAAATGGACAATTATAAATAGATAAATTCTATAATATAAGCCGATAATAAAAATACATGTTTTAATATTTGTCTCTAGTAAAAAATTTTGATTGAGTTTTTCATGTTTATTTTGAAGGATTTAAGAGGAAATTTCTGATCTTTTGTTAAAAAATGGACGATTTAATTAGAAACAGAAATTTACTTTTATTAAAAAATATCGAAATAAAAAACCTGTATGCATTTACTGTACTACTGTACTGATGCGTCATTCACCCTGGGCGGATTGAGCCGGCTTCTTCCTGTTGTGAGAAGAAGATTCTTGGGATAAATTACAGAAGTAGGGTACCCAGGCCTACTCGGATAACGTTCTTGCTTGTCGCGGGGTTCCCACAGACGCAGAGACAGGAACGACCAGAAGCCGCCGGTTGCCGATGCAGACGCTCCTTGGATTTTCACCATAGCCCTTGTTAGCCGTCAAATCACGCTGAAACACCGGTTCTCGTTCGATCACCGAAGTTAAGCATCGTAGAGCCAGGTCAGTACTTAGATGGGGGACCGCTTGGGAACACCTGGTACTGTAAGCCCCCAAAGTCCAACCCTTACCTCACAGTCGGTGTGTGTGTGTGGGGGGGGTGTAAACAGTAGTGTCAGAGCTATGCCGTCCGGAACTTCGTTCCTGGTAGGGCCACCCAAGGCATTTACTATGGAATGATTATAAATAAAATTGACATGTTAAAATACTAATGATTATGATATGTTTGGAAAATTTGAAGGGGCAATTTCCTAGTTCCCAGCTATGGGTAAATAGCAGAACAGACCGGGTTCTATAGCCTTGGATGGCAACTGGTCTACTGCAGAAGGAAATGGTAACCTACTGCGGGAAAGAATCTGCCTTGTCAGTTATGTATTGAAAGATACATGATCTCCTAAGCGTGTATCACGCATGGCACATAACTGCCTGACTGATGTGCTAATACCCTTGGGAAAAGTATGAAACCTCTTCTTCTCTCCACCCAGCTATGGGTAAATAGCAGGTCAGGTTAGGTTCTTGGATGGCAACTGGTCTACTGCTGAAAGAAATGGCAACCTGCTGCGGGAAAAGAATCTGCCTCATCAGTCATGTATCGAAAGATACATGATGGGCTAAGTATGGCACATAACTGACTGAATTTCATAGTAGTGCTTCTTAAATGAAAAACAGATAAATTACCATGCAGCAAACCACACTGAATAAGTTTTGGTCTGTCTATATTTCTGAGATGAGGTATTATGTACAGTATTTACATTAGTCGGACTATTGTCCTCATCTTTGTCGCCATATTTGTCACAACGTTTCGGCCGTTGTACGCTCCGGCCTTCTTCAGGTGATTGGAATTTCAAACTGAACCCTTTATTTCGATCACTGGGGTAGACTGTTCTAGTTCCACGTGCCATGTTTGATGGATGTCAGTTATCAGTTATCTCCTGCAACCTCCTTTATCCACTGTGCCATGTGTCCTCAAGGACACATGGCACAGTGGATAAAGGCGTTGGTTAGATCCAGTGACAGACCCAAAGAAGGTGAGTTCAATACCTGGTTAAGGCAGTGGAGAACTTTCAGAGGGGAATTAACAGGAAATAACTGTAATACTTGTAAATACTGTGAATAAGTTTTTCATAAAAAAATCAGATTAATAAACATAGCATTCATAGCATTTTTATTGTATCTTCTTATCTTATCTTCTTATATGTACCTATATTTTAATTAAAAAGTACATTAATTAGAAATTAATTGTGAATGAGATTAAAACATGAGGTACAAATTACATAATTTCCTATAAGGTATTATATTCGATTAATGCGTTTTTGATTAGTGTGTAACTTTTAATGTCCGTATTAGTCATACTAATTAAGGATTTCTGTCTGTTTTAAGCGTGTCTGCTCGAGACAATAATATTCTTTCCTTACGTGACAGTTCTATCAATGTTTTCATATTCATTGGATTCGTACACTTTGCTATTTTTATTGCAGTATATTATGACTGAATTTTGTCCAGTTTTTTAAAAATATTACCAGTAAGCCAATTTATGTATTTGGGTTTTTATCTCAAAAGACGTGGCTTCCCCCTGTCTTTTCTATAAATATTCTCATGGCAATTTTTGTTGCCTAGATGCAACCGTAAGTTCTATTCTAATAGTTTCCTCTTTTCTTGCACTTCTCGCATGTGGAAATCTCTTCGGTATATTGCTTCCCTGTCACCTACAATCTTCAGAAATTTAAGTGCAATTTCAATCACCATCTTTTGTCTTCCTGAAACCTGTTTTTTTATTGTCCTTTCTCTCCACTAGAATCTTTTTCATTCCCAGTAACTCTTTTTGTCTTAGTAACATCATCATTTTGCTTCGGGTGAAATGTTTAAACATTTTTTTTCATTTATTTTTATTTAGAAAGTTCAGGAAATTATTCTAGATTAAATCAGATACTGAAGAATTGTTATTTAAGAAAACATATTTTTAATCCAAGAAAGGCCTCTGTGTCTACATATACGAATCTGTGTCTACATATACAAATCTGGGCAATTCTTGGAAAATGGACAGATCTGATTTTATTCATCAAAATTAGGGGGTTCAACTTTTGCATAGTATCGATAAAGTAAATATATGATTTTGTTACCCGAAATAAGGAAGTGATCGATACTGATTTGGATTGACTGAACAGGATTAGATTCTTTCGTGGCAGGAAGTAATCGAAAATTCTCTTATCTAAATTGGTTTAAGTATGCCATGATCGATAACTGAATCGAAGTGTATCATACGTGTGTAATGTTATGTTAGTAATATTTAATAACACGAGACCAGCATTTTCGTGCGTAAAATAATTGTTTATTCATTTCATGTCTGCATCAAATTAACTCCGGCCGAATCGAAGGTATGCGGTTTCGAGTTTTTCTTCAAACGTTTGATCCTCTAGCAAGGACGAGAGATATTCTGTCTTTTCCCTTCGTAGGTTAGGCTTTTATATAACTTCCTTTTGTCCGGTTTTCTTGTGTGTGTATATTCTAAGTTTCTTACGGCCATATCGCAATCAAACACCGGTTCCCGTATGATCACCAAAGTTCAGCAACGTTGAGTCTGGTCAGTACTTTGATGGGTGAACGCTGAGGAATACCAGATGCTGTAAGCTTAGATGTGCGGGTGGTATAGTCGATAATAGCTCAGGATTTTTAATCGGAGAGCCGAGTTCCAATTGCCGTTGGGATCGTTATATTCACTTACACGCAAATCCCCTTGGGAAAGGCATGAACCCATCTTCCCCAGCAATGGGTTATTTAATCTACCGTACTGAGATAGATAGATAGATAGATAGATAGGTAGATAGATAGATAGATAGTGTTACATACCGTACCTATGGACACCAGTGGGTATGTCCCAATCCCCATCAATACGTTGGACACTATTGTAAGTGTGTGTGGGGGTTAATATGCTGTAAAAGTAGTCCAACACTAGCAGTGGTTTACCTACTACACGCCGCTGGCGAGTATTGGATTTTGTTGATGCTATAAAGATTGCCATTTCATTTCCAACCTCCGTTTTGGTTATTCCTCATTTTAGTAACCCTTCCTAGGTTACAACAGGTTAATTAGTAAAACTTGTATCACTAAATAATTATTATCTTCTCCCCTCACTCTCCCCCATAAAAAGCGTACAACTATTTAAATATCGGCAGCAAAAAAAAAAAACAAAAAAAAAAAAAACATATATATTGATGTGCCGCTAAGCAAAATCGAAACAAATAACGATATATGCTAACATTAGCTGGATTCACTTTCTCCCCTGAAGTCCGATTCTGCACTTGCTGGCTTAAGGTTACCTTCTAGGTTCACCCTCGAATCACCTACGTCTTTTGATGTTCTGAGATGACTACTTTGGTATCTCTTAGAGTGAACCCAATATATATTCGGGTCACCACAGATCAACTCTTCTTAGATTAAAATTGATTTTTTGCATAAATTCGATTCAGACGTATGGTATTTGCTGTCGGGAATAAAACTGTACATACTCACAAATATTTTCAACTTGGATGTTTGCTGTTGGGCAGTGATTAGTGGTTAAGTTCGGCTCTCATCGGATGCTTTATAGTTGTGGCCTAAGTCAGGAGTTGTCAAACATTTTAGACCATCGACCCCTACATGGAATCTTTATTTTCTTATCGACCCCTAAGCATGTCCAAAAGGTATCAATAATTAAAAAGAAAATATTTCAGGGTAGAAATTAACCACGATTTATTTTCTCGAGCCCATTTTGATTATTGACATTGATTCGATTACTTTTGACTCCCCACGTATTTATTGACCCCCTGAATAGTCCCAATGACATCCAAGGATCGATATCAAGCATGTTTATTGTCTTCTGACGTAATCCGAGCTTATTACATGTCATATACGCACCCTGTATCTATACCCTTATGCAAATTAATGAAACAAAACGAATAATTTCGTTATCATTTACTTTGTTTTTGTATTTTTCCAATGAAACATGACCCAGAGCACGTGTTAGTATTTCGTATGTCCATTCCACGAAGTCGCTCTTTGCAGATTCTCGATTGCATTTAAATCAGGAGAGTTTTAGAGCCAGTCTCTAGTACTCTGATTTGTTCACTGGTAAAGCTTGCCACTCTGGTCGTACAGCATTACAATTTTCGTACGTTTACGTGGAGTTAGGTCCAGTACAGACAATGTCCGTAGGACAACTAATCGACAGTCGAGACAATAGTATCAGAGCGTGATAAAAATCTGATGCAATCCCGGATGACGGAATATATTTCAAGGCCAAACAAATTCCATCATACACCCCGATTACACCCTGTCACTCCAGTGGGTATAAAACTGACAATGTGACATGCTACAGCGTGTTTGGCAGGAGCTGGATACTTATTATAAAACGCAGGTTGTGTGTGTGTGTGTGTGTGTCTGTACGTTTATATATTGGATCGGATTTCCTACATTTTTCAACCGATTTCAACAAAACTTCACAGGACTACGTAAAATTACCTTGCGGTGGTTCTGGCAGCGCCAAAAATTGGAAAAACACAATTGTTTTTTCCACGAAATCAATTTGAAAACACGATTAAGAGGCATCGCGAGAATGAAAGGGGGACAACTCATATCGAGTTATACTTATTATAAAAACCCAGGTTGTTTGTGTGTGTATGTGTGTGAGTTCGTTTATATATGGGATCGGATTTCCTACATTTTTCAACCGATTTCAACAAAACTTCCCTTTATTTTGGCAGGTAGTGTTTCATATTGGCTTGCACACTTTTTTCTTTATTTTTACATTCAGAATGCTTTAAAAATTCCATTTACAAGACAATTGTTTATAATAAAATTCTATTCAATCGGTAGACTCATAACGATTGAAAACAATGTTTTTGCTTGAGTTTGGGTTTGACCAATTCGTAAAAAAAAAACAAAAAAAAAAAACTAATTAAGAGATGCGTGTCCGTCAACCTTAAACAATAATCTTTGCCAATTTTATTTTTCAGTCTTTATGATGGTCGATACTGTTACATCCCCGGGCAACGCCGGGCTCTACTGCTAGTCGGTTATAAAATCGACATGCGTTTGAATATCGTGTTCAAATTTTGATAAATAAATCTTTTATTGTTCAACATGAAGACTATTTAATTTCGTTTGCCTGGAACATGTGCTTACTCAGATATTCACATTTTAAATGATGGCAATTTTAAGGAGACACCCTGTATACTACAATGGCATTTCAATTCGTCTCCATACAATTCGTGTGGGGATTGCGAAAATTAAATGATTTTTACGTTAAAAATGAAAAAGGAGGAAAACAGGGTGTATTTTTGTCCTTGATGCATTTTAATTTCTGGAAAGTAAAAAAATAAAAGCTGTGCGAACAGCGAAAATGATATGTGCCGTTTATAGAAACGGTGCCGTAGCTGAAAGTACTGTTCGTGTCTGGTTCGCTAGTTTCAAAAGTGGACATTTTGATCCGGAAAACCAAGAATATTCGGGCAGATCTCCAGTCGTTGATGATGACCAAATCGAATTACTAAAAGAAATCCTGGTTATACGACTGGAAACATCGCAGAGATACTCCATGTATGTCATAAGGCATTTGAAAAAACTTGGATCCTTGATATGTAGGTGCCTCATATTTTAATGGGATTACATTTGATGGGCGACGTTTTCATTTGTGATTCCCTACTCAAACGCAAAATAAAGACCCATTTTTTGGAATGGAACGATCACAGGTGGTGAAAAATGGAGTGAAAAAGTTCCCGGGAAAAACGAAATGAGCCATCAATAAGCACTCCAAAATCTGGTCTAAATGCGATGAATGCAATGCTGTTATCTGGTGGAATTAGAATGGTACCGTGTATTAAACTCTTTCTGCAAAATCAAGCATTGAATTTAAACGAGTACTGTTCTTAGTTCTACCGATAAGAGGTAGCAATCAATAAAAAGACCCCAGAATTGGCCAATAGGATAGATGTCGTCTGCTATCAGAACAATACATGTCGTCTTGTATCAGGACTTCCCATCTTTTTGTAGATCCGGCAGTAATTGGTCCATTTTGATGGGCTGACCTACTCTATCCAATGTACATAGCTGACATTTCACCTTCGGATGACCACTTATTTCGATCATTATTAAATGATCTTAATAGGATGAGCATCAATTCACTCGAAATCTGCAAAAAAAGCACATAAACCAGTTCATAGGTCACCAAGATGCCAATTTCTGCGAGGATGGAATCATGAAGTTGTCTCAAAGACGGCGAAAGATAGCGGAACAATATGGCAAATTTTGGTTGAATAAGTCTAAATATTGTCTTTGAAAGTCATTTAAACAACGCTATTAACTTTTTGTTCCGGTCCAATATTATTCAAAGTTTGATGAATAAAATGGCAATCGTAATTTCATAATAGTCCAGTTTTCATTTCAGTCCATTTCCTCTATATTTCTTTCTATATATCAAAAACTTTAGTTTACTCTTTCTTTCTTTCTTTCTTTCTTTCTTTCTTTCTTTCTCGTTGATCTTTCTTTTTCCTTCTACTTTCTTTCATTTTTTGTTTTTCATTTGTTCTTTCTTTTTTCTCTTTTTTTCCGTATTTCTTTTTTATTGTATATTCTTTTTTTCTTTCTTTCTTTCTTTCTTTCTTTCTTTCTTTCTTTTTTTCTTTCTTTCTTTCTTTCTTTCTTGCCTCTACATTCCTCTCTCCATCCACTAATACTTTATGGAAATATGCGCAGTTCTTTCTTTATTTATCCACTGATATTATGTGGAAGCGGATCTTTCTTTCTTTCTTTTCTTTCTTTCTTTCTTTCTTTCTTTTTGAAAATATAAAGAATAACACCACCACAAAAACAAAAAACAAAAACAGGAAAAGAAGATGAAATGGAGGTGTGGTCTGTTCTTTCTTTCTTTCTTTCTTTCTTTCTTTCTTTCTTTCTTTCTTTCTTTCTTTCTTTTTCGTTTTTCATTTGTTCTTTTTTTCTCTTTTTATTTAATCTTTCTTATTGTACTTCTTTCTTTTTCTTTGTCACTGTTTTTCTTTCTTTTTGCTTTCATTCTTTCCTTCCGTCTTTCTTTCTTTCTTTCTCCTTGAACTTTATTTCTTCCTTTCTTTCTTTTTGTATTTTTTGTTTCTCATTGCTATTTCTTTCTTTCTTTCTTTCTTTCTTTCTTTCTTTCTTTCTTTCTTTCTTTTTTGTACTTTCTTTCTTTTTATTGTACATACATTCTCTCTTTCTTTCTCTCTCTTTCTTTATTTTCTTGTAAATTATTCTTTTCTTTCTTTTTGTACATTGTTTGTTTGTTTGTTTCTTTCTTTCTTTCTTATTTTTCTTTCTTATTATTGGACATTCTTTCTCCATTTTTTCCTCTTTCTTTCTTTCTTTCTTTCTTTTGTATATCTCTGTCTTTCTTTTTCCATTTTCTACTCGCTCTTGTCTCGTTCACCTTTTCCGTCTCTTACACCTGTCTCTTCTTTCTCCGTCTCTCCCCCTGCTACTCTCTAGATTACGTTTCTTGTCCATAAATAATAACGCCGGCGTCAGACGGACACGGCGATGACCATTAAGTGAATCTATTTCAAATAAGAGCGAACCAAACTCGATTATTTGCCGCTGACCACTGACCTTGTCTGACAAGTTTTCCGACAAAGTAAATCTCTGAAACACAAACGCCTCATCTCTGTCGCAAATGGAGGGAGAAAAAAAAATATCGACTAGAACAACACAGACATTACTACTGAAAACTGCTCTCCCAAATTATTCCAAAGTCACCCGGTGGGGGTTTGTCAGCTTCAAATCGGAATGTCGGAAAAGGAAGAGGCAAATACGAAAGTATTTTTGCCTTAAGGGATACTATTCGTTTTTTAGTCGGTAAATGGTCGGTAAAACGAAATGAAATGGGAGCAATGGTTGGGAGGGGGGGAGGTAAAAGACAAGTAAAAAAGATAGATAGATAGATCGATAGATAGATAGAACCAGGAAGGAATATAGATAGATAGATAGATAGATAGATAGAACCAGGATGGAAGATAGATAGATAGATAGATAGATAGATAGATAGATAGAATCAGGATGGAAGATAGATGGATAGATAGAACCAGGATGGAAGATAGATAGATAGATAGATAGATAGATAGATAGATAGATAGATAGATAGAATCAGGATGGAAGATAGATAGATAGATAGAGATAGATAGATAGATAGATAGATAGAATCAGGATGGAAGATAGATAGATAGATAGATAGATAGATAGATAGATAGATAGATAGAACCAGGATGGAAGATAGATAGATAGATAGAAACAGGTAGAATGAAGGTCGAGAACAAGAAAGAAGGATATGGATAGATGGACAGAAACATAAAGAGAGAGAGAGAGAGAGAGAGAGAGAGAGAGAGAGAGAGAGAGGTGGGATAGAGGTAGAAATAGATAGAGACGGAAGGGGAGAAAAGGTAGATATACAGTGTGACAAAGAAAGAATGAAAGGGTAGTGAAAATAGAGGGGATAGGAAAGAATGGGGGTATAAAAGGGAAAAAGAAGGAAAAAAAGATAGCAATAGGGAGAGAGAGAGAGAGACGTAAAAGAGAAGAGAGAGAGAGACAATCAGTGTAACAGAGAGGGCAGGAAAAGGATGGGTACACTGTTAGAGGGTGACAGAGAGACGAAAGAAAAGCAAGATAGCGAAAATAGATAGTGAAAATACAGATTGACAAGGAGAGAGAGAGAGAGAGAGAGCAAAGAAGGGACTTTACAGAGTGGTAGAGAGGGTGAAATACAGAGAAAGAGACAAAAGTCCGTGGAGAAAAAAGAAATAGAGATAGGGAGAAGGAGTTGTAAACAGTACACTGACAATGGGTGACAACGACAGAGAAATAGAGAAAGATAGAGCGAATGAGAAAGAGAAGAGGAGACAATGAGAAATATGGATAGAAAAAAAGAAGACTGGCGTGAGAAAAATACAGACTGACAGAAATAAATATATCTATCTATCTATCTATCTATCTATATATATATTTATATATATATATATATATATATATATCTTTTGAACACTCTCATTTTTTAAGAATAGTAATTGTTGGTTATTGGAATTCTGGGTTTCCATATATAGTTAATCATATATATATATATATATATATATATATATATATATATATATATATATATATATATATATATATATATATATATATAATTTATCCTACTTAGGTTTTATATACGGATTACCTAGTTTTTCCATAAGCTAAATATATATATATATATATATATATATATATATATATATATATTTCTGTCAGTCTGTATTTTTCTCACATCAGTCTTCAGTTGTCCTTCTCCTAGACCAGTTTGCCATCAAGCTATATATATATATATATATATATATATATATATATATATACTAGTTGCCATCCAAGGCTATATATATATATATATATATATATATATATATATATATATATATATATATATATATATAGTTGCCATCCATATATATATATATATATATATATATATATATATATATATATATATATATATATATATAGACTTGGATGGCAATTGGTCTAGGAGAAGGACAACTCTGAATTTAAAACCTGCCGATGGTCGTTTGGGGACCTTGTGGCACGTAGTGCACCAGGTCTCTGTATTCGGCCCTTCAAAAAGTGTGGATGGTCCTCCACTATAATCAAATCTCATGTGCTGCTGTCGGGTTGTCGGTTTCCTAGGAACTGATCTGTTTGACCCTTATACATCGAATACAACGGGAGAATCGTATATATATATATATATATATATATATATATATATATATATATATATATATATATATTATGGGTGTAGGGCTGCATCCTTAGTCCTATTTTGTTTTTAATTTTCAGTAATTACCATTCCGATGGCATCAGCTCTCAACTTGGTATCTACGCTGATGACACAACCATTTGCTCCTGTTTCGAGATTAAATCTGATCAGTTCCATAAGGTCAAAATGATACCAAAATGAAAAATGTTATCTAAAACAACCTTCAGTCTGTTGTTAACCGGAGCAAAGGATGGCTTGTTAACTTTAATAACTCCAAAATTAAACCACTCTCTATTAATCATCTGAGAGATCCCTATCTGCCTTCCATCAGCATGGCTGATGCTGACCTCCAGGAGAGTGACTTGTTGCACCTTCTCAGGCTAAAGTTCTCCAATGACATGTAGTGGAAAGATTATTATGAATCCATTGCTAAGTCAGCTGCTAAGAAAGTTGGTTCACTGTGCCATTCTAAACAATTTTTCTCTCCAGAATCGATCTTCATATAAGTCTAACATTCGTCCATTTAAAATATTGCTACCACATATGATCAGGTGCCCTTGCTATTTACCTTGAGCTCCTTGATAAAATCCAAACAAGAATCAGCAATATTATCGGTCCTGATCTGGCGACCCGGCTTCAATCAGTTTCCCACCGCCGTAAGGTTGCCTACTTGTATCTTTTCTATAAAGACTTTCATGGTAATTTTTCTAATGAGCTTTCCTTTTTGGTACTGCCACTTTACGAATTCACTTATAAAAAACATTTATTAATAAAATGTTTGCATGATAGGTTTTCAGGATTTTATGAAGAATTGATAAAGTGTTACGGTTGGGTGCCATTGGATAGACCTTATCTCAATCATTATCGCCACTCTTCATATAAAACGCACGTATGGTGACGTTTAATTATTGTTATTTGATTCTTAAAGTTAACCAACTGAGTGACTCGAATCAGAACCGCATTCTTTAGGTTTGGTTTGGTTTGGTTTGAGTTACGGTATATCAACACCTCAATGGGTTATTTAATCTATCTATCTATCTATCTATGGTACCTAGACTTTTTGAATTTAAGCGCAGTACTAGACTGGCGTGGAGGTATCCTCAATTTATCTTTGATCTATCCTGGTATCTAGATGTAGCCGCTAACAGTTTCTTTTTTCGCACTTCTCGCTTGTGGAACTCCCTTCCGGTTCCATGCTTACCAGTCAACTTTAATCTGCAAAAATTGAAATCCAATGTCAATCGCTATCTACTGTCCTGATTACTCTTTCCTCTTCCCGATCATAATTAATGTTCCTCTTCCTAATTCTTTGCATGCTTGTGTCTTTATTGCCTTGCATGAGGGTGATACGGATTAAAAACATTGTATTAACAAAACAGTAGCCCACGATATATATGTGTATTTTACCTTATAGTAATTCTTTCTAATAGAAATATTTGCAATGGCGTATTTGGGAGTGTGAGATTGTAAAGAAATACATAATTGTATAATTATATAAGAGAAGGGGGGTGACGATAAGATCATGAAAGACGAAAGAGAAAGAAAGGGACTACGCTTATGATACTGTGGTTAACAAAAAAGACTAAACAGAGAAGGGTTTGGGTTAGGCAGCGTCATATATACCTTAATGTACACTGAAGTAACTATAGATAGATAGATAGATAGATAGATAGTGTTGAATGTACCGAGAAAGAAAGAAAGAAAAAAAAGAAAGAATTGAAGGACACTAGATAGAGATAGATACAAACAGAAAGTATTTGAATGGACCGAGAAAACGAAAGAAGTGATGTGTGTGTGTGTGTGAAAAGAGAGAGAGAGAAGAGAGAAAGAGAGAGAGAGAGAGAGGATGTTTAAAATGGACTGAGAAAAAAAGGATAGATAGATTTGAACGGGCCAAGAAAGAAAGAGAGAAACAAACAAACAAAGAAGAAAGAAGAAAACGAATGTATTGAATAGGGCAAGATAGGATAGAGATTGTAAATAAATACTTAATTGTTTAGTTATTAATATTTATTTTCTTCCTGTAAGACATCTAAGAATTGTCATGGATCGTAGGAAAGATCTAACCTCAAAAGAGAAACAAAAGACTTCAAGTTATCGTGAGATGAGAAAACAATGTCTGAAATGACGACAAACCTGAACAGAGGACATCGAACAATCAAAAATTGAAATTGAAAAACATTAGCAAGAGACAAACAATACATAGCACTGACTTTAAGAATGTCACAAAAAAGATATGAGACAAAATTAAAATTGTAATAGCAAAGTAAGTTCACCAGAAAGAAACAAATACAAATTGCAAAGAAAATATGTGAGAAACAATTTAAAAAAATGCTGCTAATCATGTTAAAGTCCAAACAGCAGGAAAACTATTCCTAAACAATTGATGAAGGATATAGAATATGTAAGAGACAATATTAACATATAAGATAATAGAATAATAATTTATTTATATATATAGGATTTGGGGTTAATCAATAAAATTTTTCTATGGCTTATATTGTTTGGATTTATTTAAAGTAGAGAGGTTAAACAATGTTTGTCGCTAATATTGTAGGCAGGAAAATCATGTTTCAAATTTTATTATAGTATTAAGATAAATGCAGAGAAATATTGTAAAATCTTTGACCAGGTATTTTTTTGATTGGCACAGGACATGACCGAGAAGCAATTAATATAAAGAGACAATGATGCAAGACTTCCATATTTCTGCCAAAATAACTATTGCCCACGTTGCCAAAAACAAAAATGGTTTTTAAAGCAACAGATTAATGAAATGTATCTCCAGTCCCTTCAGGTGGTAGTCCTATAGAAAAACACAAAGTAAAGTGTACTGACCCTCTAGAGGATATTTGAGAAAAAAAATGAATATTAAGAAACGGGTTAAAAAAAGAAGTGAAAGCGATCAAACTACCAACTTTAAGCAAACATGAAGAGAAACGTGTACACTGGGTGTAGAAGTACAGAAAGAATAACTTTTAAACAGTAATTTTTATTGATGAATGTTGTTGTAACATACCTACGGACGATAATGGGTATGTCCCCATTCACATAAATACAGTAGTAAATACTGTATGTTGGTCTTCAGTCGGAGATTCGTCTCTAGCTGAGCTGGTCGAATTCTCTGCCTTCGGTAGAGAGGAACCCAAACGAGGCTATGCCGAAGGGCAGAGTCTCGTCTGGGGTAGTAGACAGCTACCAGACCACGTTTTTTACGGGCTCTACGGGGAATTGTTGCCCGAGCCTACGGGCTCGGATACCCCACGTTAAATTCACCCTTGTGCCACATCTGACCGCGTGGGGCGGTAGGCAACTATACTTGTTGGAGATTGGTCTCCAACTGTGCTGGTCAAACTCTCTGCATCCGGGCAGAGAGGATCCCCAGACGAGGCTATGTCGAAGGGCAGAGTCTCGTCTCGTGAAACACTTACCCGACCTTGTTTTATACGGTGTCTACGGGCTGAAATACCCCACATTAAATTCGGCCTTGTAACACATCTGACCGCGTGGGGTTCCTGGTAGATATCCTAGAGTTGGAGATTCATTGTGGAATTCAGTTGACTCACTTATAGCAGTTAACTATTTCTTCTACGCGCCTCTGGCGAATCTTATATGTGTTGTTCTTGTCCTAAGTATTATCGTTCATTACCAACCTTCGCGTGATCATTCTATTCAGTAACGTTCCCTAGGTTACAACAAATGTTGAGCTACATTGGATGGACGTGATGGCTGAGTTAGAGGTTAGGTTCTTCATCACAAGCAACATAGCATCGAAGTCAACAGAGGTGGTGTAATCTTTTTGGCTCTTATTGTTGGCAGTAAAATTCTACGTCCTTTCAAGGTTGACGAATCAAAATAAATGCTGAGAATGAAGATGTTTTTTTTCATTAGTGCCGTTTGTAACCAAGAGGCATTATGCAGAAGATTATATTCATGCAGGGCAATGTTCTTTCATATTCTAAAACGAAAAAATTTATCAAAGGCAGCAATTAAAGGAATGGTTCCCATTAGAAAATAGATGGTCAATCATTAAAAGAGATTTATATGAGAATGGAAGACAATAGTCAAGCAAAGATCTTTGGGAAACAATAAAACCTGTTGAAGTAATGTTAAAGTTGAAACAATAGAACATTTCTGAAAAATCAATAAAAGAAAGAGCGATGGCGGTTATAGAATGTTAAAGAATCCATAATAACCGTGAAAATAAAATAATAATTTATTCTTCTATAAGGTTAATCCATTATATAATTTTGATCGCTTATATTTCATGCATTCATTTACAGTGGGGGGGTGTTGAGTAATATTCGGTGTTATTATAATAGGCAGGATAATTAAAGGCCCCTTCAAATTTGGTGATCGTATTAAGATAAGTGCAGGGAAAATTTGTAAATTCTTGGAGCAGGCACTGGACAAAAGCGAGAAGCAATAAAACTAATGAGTCAATTATGTCAGACAATTCTCTTTCTCGTTTTCATATTTTGCCAAACTAAATATTGCCCCCCAAAAAAACAAAAAAAAAACAAAACAAACAATATTTTAATCGCTTATATTGCATGAATTCATTTACCGTGGAGAGGTTGGGTAATATTTAGTGTTATTATAGTAAGTATGAAAATCATAGACCCCTTCAAATCTAAAAAAAAAAAAAAATCAGCCCACTCAAGGCAATAAAGTCACTAAGACGCAAGGAGTTATTTAGTTTGAAAGAGTATGAGAAAAAGAATGACATTATTAAGGAGAGAGTTCAATAAAAGAACAGTCATTAAGAAATCTGAGATAAAGATTGACGTTTTATTTAAGTTTTTGAAGATCAAAGTTGACTGGAAAGCTAGAAGCTGGAAGAGAGTTCCACAAGCGAGAAGTGCGAGAAAAGAAACTGTTACCATAGAACTTACGCTTACATTTAACCATTTCGATTGTAAGATGATGAAACTTGCCGCCACTCTAGTAGAAAGCATAAATTCATAAAGTCTAGGTACCCAAGACGAAAGCCAATCAGAACAATTACCATGAAATTATTCATAGAAAAGGCACAGAGAAGCTACAGCCTTGTGCAAATTAATTGAAACAACTGTTTTAGTTTCCATTCTTTCACCATACGGTCAGTTTTAGACCCACTGGAGTGATAGGGTGTAATCGATTTCTATTTTTACCTTAGATAAGGTCATTTTCTGTGTTGTGTAGTAATATGAATCTGTTTTCGAGGTGTATGATGAAATATTTTGGACCTTGAAAAATATTGCGTCATCCGTGATTGCATCAGATTTTTATCAAATCCGGACACTATTGTCTCTATTGTCGATTAGTTGTCCTACGGCCATTGTCTGTGATGGACGTTACTCCAAGGAAGTAAAATTGAGCAAATCAAAGTACTATCGACTGGCTCGGAAACTTTCTTGATTTAAATCCAGTCGAGAATCTGTGCTCAATCTACAATGAATGGCTTCGTGGAATGGACATACGAAATATTTACATATACATTGGTTCATGTTTCATTGGAAAAATACGAATAAAAGTAAATAATAAGGGAAATATTTGTTTTGTTTCAATTAATTTGCACAAGGCTGTACGTCACGGAGGTGGGAAAAATGACTGAAACCGAGATGCCAGGTGAGGACCAATAACATTTTAGATTCTTATGAATTTAAGCGTGCTACTAGGTTGGCATCTCGGTCCCACTCTTTCGAAACAGTTAAATGTAGCCATCTCTTCTACTCCAACAGCTTCTTATCTCGCACTTCCCGTCAGTGGAACTCCCTTTCTCTTACTTGCTTCCTTACAGCTATAATCTTTAAATATTCAAATGTAATGTCAATCGACATCTTCTGATGCCTTGATCTTGATCCTGTCCTTCTGTATATCCTTTACTCAAACACCCTCTTTACGCCTGTTCTCACTTTCTTTAACCCCCTTGCGTGGTAGTGGCACTCTCGCCTTGCTTGGGGTAATATGCTTTAAAAAATACTTAACAGAATCACTACTGCAGGTGTGACAGCAATGGACGAATGGTAGATTCATAAATAAGGTAGAATCTGACGACACAGTGAACCAACTTTCCTAGTAGCAGACCTAGCAACTGATTCAATATAATCTTTTCAAAAAAAAAAAAATAAAATAATGTATTGTTGACATATTTGGGTCGGGAGCTGCGTTTTTCTGACTTTACAGTTTTAATAGGGTCCCAAATCGTTTATATGGTCTTATGTGGAAAAACGCATTCCTCAGTCTGCAAAAGCTTTACCAACTGGCGCAATGCAGTAAGCCTATCGCTACTCTATTGACATTTCCATAGAACTGTAAAGGTCAGTTTCACAGACCTTTACAACTAGGACACACCATTCTACTTCTAAAGAATTGAATCAGCATCATTTCCCCCTCGCGTTCCAGATGCAAGAAGAAAGTTCCGCTCAGACAATCTTTTTTCCAAAGAACTGTTACTTTGTGAAACAGAATCTCGTGTACATGCTCCCCTGAACACTAGAGGCGTAAGCCAATAAATCCAAGGGTGATTTTTTTATCTGTCCTCCTTATCCTCATAATTTTTCACTTCTTACAACCTCCACTTTCATTCATATCATCCACTTCATTCATTATTGCCATTTTAACAGCACTGAATACACGACTCGAGAACCACTCAAAGTGGAGGGCTGCTGGAACCAAGGTGCTCAGTAAAAAAAAAGGGGCAGATTTATTCTTCGAAAAAATACACCAGCTCTGATTAGTCCATCTCAGTGGCCCTCTAAAAGTCCAGATCTAAATGTTAGGGGTTACTGTATTTGGAGTAGACTCCTAAATCGCTTGCAAAACAGTCATCTTGATCTTGTTGCAAAACCGTCATTGTGACATCCTTGATATTGAATCATTTAAGTAGAACTTAACTGAAACTTGAAATGAAATTCCTCTTGACACTATTCGTAAAGCTTCTGCCTTCTGGTTCCACGTTTACAACTTTGTGTTGAACATTCAGGCAAACATTTCTAACATCTC